ACCCACTTTGCAGGTGCAGGTGGATGGTCAAGCACGTTGTCAGCTGTTACGAACATTGCGCAGGTGCCAAATCGGCCACATGCCAACAGTTGCGCCAGATGTGCCACGCCGACCTCGTGCACACGTGATGTTGCCACGTAGGTCGGCTTCGCCAAAACCACATGGACGACGTTCGCACACCCGGCAGAACTTCGTCGGCCTGGTTACACGGTCGACCAGAGGAGGCCGCCGACGTCTACAAGTCGGCGCCCCCCCCAAGACGGCGTCATGTCGACGAACACCTTCGTCTTGGCCAGCTTTGCCAAAGTTGGCCCCACTGTAGCCGACTTCGTCCAAGTCGGCTAACCAACAAATTCGGCTAACCACACCGTTCTGATCCTTCTGTTAGAGACTAAGGACGGAGTCTAGAACGTTTAGGGGCCGAAATATCTCAAAATCGTTGGTCTAAAATTCTGGACAGAAATGTCAACTTCACAAGAAACGCCGTCGACGAAATGTGCACAGTTACAACTTCACCAATTTCATGTATGTTGTAGCTCTAGACCGTGGCTACAATTCCCAATTTGAATCGTACAAAAAGGTGAAGTAAATCGTGAGTTATGATTTTCGGCGCACTAGGGGGTATGCTGCCATGGAATATTAACTAACTCAAACACAATTGTTTACAAGTACCACACAAGAAAGTTTGAGTAGCTAGAAACCAGGTAAGAGGGCAGAGGAGGACGAGAAGGAAAGTCCCAAGAGATCCCCAACCAAGAAAACCCCATACGTCACAAGATTCCCTCCCTATAGGAACCCAACAATCACCCTTGTCTTTTCCCAACCTCTCAAAACCACCTCACTCCAACTTGGTCACACTTGCCAACCTGGTTTGACTTCTCCCAACCACTTGGCAGCATCTACAGTAGAATGACGAGTTTCCCAACCCCCAAATGTCTGTACCCCATATAGAGTCAACTCCGCAACTTCCCATAGTCGCCGCAACAATATTTCAAAAGCATACGAATTTAAACCGTTCGTAACTTTCTCGTCCATGCTCCGATCGCGACGATTCTTGGCTCGTCTTGAAGCTCTTGAGCAGAGAAGTTTTTTCAAATATCTCATAACATATGATGGAGGCAGACAGATGTGAATGCATATGATTGCATCACACAACAAACTCCCCCTCTGGCTGTCTACAATCATCCCACATGCCTCTACTCATGCGTGCACAATCAATGCACACTCATTCTAGCAAGTTTCATGCCCTTCCAGTGCTCAGGTTCAGCCAGGCGCTTAGTGAGAATGTCAGCTGCCTGCTGAACTGCAGGGTAGTACTTCACATCTCCCATCTTGGAACACTTGAACTGCATCTCCAGCATCTCCTCCACATGCTCAATCATCGCAGACGACTCAGAGAAAAGCAGGATGTCATCCACATACACCAGGAGCATGAGGAACTGCTCCTTCTCTTGCAACAGGAAAAAGATGTGATCACACTCGCTCTTCTTGAATCCCCCAGCCAGCAATGTCTCCTCTAGCTTGTGGTACCATGCACGAGGAGCCTGCTTCAGGCCATAGATGGCCTTCTTCAGCCTGCACACCCTGCCGCTCCCATCATCCAACCCCTCAGGCTGCAGCATGTACAGCTCCTCCAGGATGATCCCATTGAGGAAAGAAGTCGTGATGTTCAGCTGCTTGATCTTCCATCTGCGATTTGCAGCCGTTCCCAACATCACCCTCAGTGTTCTCCCTTTCCCCATAGGAGCATAGAGCTCGTCAAAGTCCTTTCCCTTTGTCTGCTGAAACCCCTTAGCCACAAGCCTTGACTTGTAGCAGGTCAGCGCCCCATCTGGTTCGTACTTGTGCCTGAAGATCAGCTTGGAAGAAATGGCCTTCTTCCCAGGAGGCAGCTCACACAGCTCCCACGTGTCATTCTCTAGGAGAGAGTTATACTACTCCTCCACAGTCTGCTTCCACTTCTTGGCATCGGGCCCACTCAAGGCCTCGGTAAGCGTCTTGGGCTCAGGGATGGCTACTTAGTAGCAGTGCGCAACCTCATCCTCATCACACTGCTCGGCCACACCTCCAGCATGCTCCACATTCCGTGTGCCACAACGATTATAGCTCAGCCTGACAGGTGGGCGCACATCCCTCCTAGGGCACTCAGGCGGGCGTGGGGCACGTGGTGGAGCACGTTGCTGCTGGTGCTGCGGCTGCTCTTGCTGCTGTTGCTGCGGTTGCTGCTGCTGCTGCTCCTCCACCTCAGGTTCTCCCCCATCCTCAGTCACCCCAGAGATCTCCTCCTCGGAGACACAAACCTCCATCTGCCTTGAAGGCTGCTGCAACTCATCGGCCTCAATAATCAGCGGTGTAGCAGGAAGCTTCTGCTGCTGCTGCTTCCACTCCTTGTAGTACAGAGACTCAAGGAACTTCACATCCCTCGACACAGTCAGCTGCTGGCTGGTCAAGTCCCATATCAACCAGCCCTTGTGATCCTTAGCAAGCCCCAAGTGCACACCCCATCTCCCAGAAGCCTCCAACTTTCCCCTCTTCTCCTTAGGCACATGAAACACCACCATGCAGCCGTAAGCTCTCAGCACGTTAAAGGCTGGTGCACTCCCATACCACTTGGTGTAGGGGACCCACTGCTTGTCCCCCACAGTCGCCAGCACCCTGTTCTTCACAAGGGCGACCTGCCTCAGTGCAGTCACCCAAAACGGATCCGGCAGCCCTGCACGCCCAAGGAGAGTGCGAGCACCTTCCTGCAGGGTCCGGTTGAACCGCTCAGGCACTCCATTTTGCTGAGGGTTGTAGGGCACTTTGAGCTGATGCTGGATCCCTTTCTTCTTCAGCACCGCCTCAAAATCAGCACCAATGAACTCTCCCCCGTTGTTGGTGCGAATCACCTTCACCTTGTGTCCGCTCTCCCTTTGAGCTCTCGGCATCCACTCCTTAAGAACAGCCGCTGCCACCTCCCCCTTAGTCTTGAGAGGGTACACCCACACCGCACGCGTGTGGTCGTCCACAATAGCCAAGAAGTAGCGGCTGCCTGAGAGAGAAAGGGCCCTCATAGGGCCCACCACATCCATGTGCACAAGTGCAAGTGGAGCCTTGGCTGGTCCCGTGCAGCTGCTAAAGAGAAACTTCGTGAACTTGGTCTCAAGGCATGTAGGGCAGCTCCCAATCTCCTTTGCTGCCCCCTTCACCTCCAATCCCTTCAAGCTCCCATCTTTGACCATTTTTTGCAGCATAGCGATGTTCATGTGACACAGCCTCTCGTGCCACGTCTCCCAATCGGCCTCAACATTCCCAGATGAAGCCTTTGCCCATGCAGCTGTTGCATCCACACCAGCAAGCACCTCACTATGTGGGCTTGGCTGCCCGCTGCTGCCATCCTCGCATAGGTGTCCTTGATCTTGTCAAGCACCGGCTTCACATCGTCTCCCGGTCGCATGGAGAGGGCAGCCAGCTCCTTCTCCAACACAATCACCATCGGCAGCGTGTTCGGCTGGACCACGTTGCGTAGCAACTTCCACACCTTCGACCCGGAGTCATCCAACTCCACCAAATCTTTAATGTGGTGAAACATATCGTTGTTGACGGATTGAAGGATAAGGTCGTACAGCACCGCGCTCTTCTCAATCCACCGATCGCAGACGTTGCCTTCTTCCGGCATCTTCTCTTCACCCATCGCAAGTTTCAGCAACTTGTAGCGCTTAAACGCACTCTGCATCTACCCGCTCCATTCCTCATAGTTGGAGCCGTCCAATGCCTCAATCTTGGATGGTGGCGGCTCATTCCTCTTCTCAGCTGCATCTCCACTCCCTTGACTCATCTTCACTTCACCCAATGTCATGTTTCAGCTCCCGGCTTTGCTGTCCACACCGAAGTCCCACGCCCCAGCAGCTTCAGCAGTGGTACGCTCAGCGTCTGGCATCTAGAAGTAGTGCTCGCTGCCCGTACGTCATTCGCACAGGTGACCGCGCTGGTCAGACGTGCGGGAAGTTTCACAACCAGCATCGCTATTTCTCTCGCCTAGACGACGCTTGGCGTGCTGAGTATGGTGATGAGGCTGAGATGCCCCGCTGGGCAGAGCTGCTTAAGACTGGTGTTGATATCTTTGCTCTTGACTATGATGCTATCATTGCTGCCATGTATGCTATGACTGTTAGTGCTGCGGGTCACTGTTCCTTGTGTGTGCTGCCTGACCCAGGTATAGAGGCTGCTGCTCTAGGTGCTAGTGAGTCTGCTCTCTCAGGTACTGCGCCTTCTGAGGTCGTGCACACCTTTACGCTTGACTCAGGTGCTTCTCGCTGTTTCTTTCGCGACAGTACCACAGTCACACCACTCACTAGACCCGTTGCAGTTTCCCTGGCTGACCCCTCTGGGGGCCCGGTTCTTGCACGTTCCTCCACTGTGCTCCCGTGTCCGGCGGTTCCGTCCGGTTCACTGTCAGGTCTCCACCTCCCCTCGTTCTCGACGAACTTGGTGAGCACCGAAGTCCTCCAGGATGCGGGGGTTGATACCTTTACCCCTGGACGGCAGCGTGTGGCGATCTGTACGTGCTCCCGGACTGGCCGTCACCTGGGTCGAGTCTGTACACATTGACTACTGCGCCGCCTCAGGTCGCTGCGTCTGCTCACGTGTCTGCATCAGGTCAGGTAGCAGCCCCCTGTGAGTGTCACCTCCTATCGCACCAGACTCTCCTTTGGCACCACCGCCTTGGTCATCCCTCCCTACCACGCCTCCGTGGCATGCACTCCCGCCTCCTTGTTTCTGGTCTTCCCAGGTCTCTGCCTCCCCTCCCACCCTCGCCTGCCCTGCCCTGCATTCCTTGCGTCGAGGGGCGGCAGCGCGCCGCTCCTCACTCCTCGTTTCCCCCGACGACTGCTCCCTTGCAGACTCTCCACATGGATTTTTGGGGCCCAGCCCGCATCAGTGGACAGGGCCGCGAGCGATACTTTCTGCTGGTTGTTGACGACTACTCGCGTTACACCACGGTCTTCCCCTTGCGTAGCATGGAGGAGGTCCCTGCTGTCCTGATCCCCTGGATCCGCGCTGTTCGTCTCCAGCTGCGCGAGCGGTTCCGCACGGACCTTCCTGTCCTGCGTCTGCACTTTGACAGAGGTGGTGAGTTCTCCTCCCACCTCCTGCTGGAATTTTGTCAGGGGGAGGGCATCCTCTAGTCGTTCACGCTTCCGGCCTCCCCACAGCAGAATGGGATTGCTGAGCGTCGCATTGGCTTAGTTATGGAGGTCGCTCGTACCTCCATGATCCATGCGGCTGCTCCCCATTTTCTGTGGCCGTTTGCGGTCCGGTACGCGGCGCATCAGCTCAACCTCTGGCCCCGTGTCTCCTTGCCGGAGACCTCGCCTACACTGCGTTGGACGGGGGAGGTTGGCGATGCGTCGCGGTTCCGGGTCTGGGGTTCTCGTGCCTTTGTTCGCGATACCACCGCGGACAAGCTCTCCTCTCGCGCCATTCCCTGCGTCTTCCTTGGCTTTCCCCCTGACGCGCCTGGCTGGCAGTTTTACCACCCCACCTCGCGCCGAGTCTTCCCCTCTCAGGACGTCACGTTTGACGAGTCGGTTCCCTTCTACCGTCTCTTCCCCTACCGCACTGCCCCTCCACCCCCTCCGCCGCTCTTCCTCGCTCCAGGTCCCCCTCCGGTAGACCCCCTCCTTCAGGTGTCTCTCAGGTAGACCCTCTTGTCTTGGCTGAGCCTGTAGAGGTCACTGGTGACTCTGGTGCTGCTGGGGGTGGTGCTGCGTCTGGATGTGCGGAGCCTGAGCACGCGGAGCCTGGGGGTGCTGGGCCTGGGGGTGCGGAGCCTAGGGATACGGAGCCTGGGGGTGCTGAGCCTGGGGGTGCGGAGCCTAGGGGTGCTGAGCCTAGGAGTGATGCGTCTAGGGGAACGTTGCTGGTGCTGAGTCTGGGGGTCCTGTGCCTGGTGGTACTACATCTGCTGTAGGTTCTCAGAGTGCCTCGCCGCAGCGGTCTGGCCAGTGAAAGCCTCTCTCACCTCAGCAGTTGCGCGAGTGGTTTGCTCGGCGCACACGCCTTTGGAGTCGCGCCGCTGGAGCTGGAGGCGCTGGAGCTAGAGGCAATGGCACTGGAGGCGCTGGTGGCGCTGGCACTGTAGACACTCGAGCTGGAGGTGCTGGAGCTGGTGACACGGTCGTTGGAGACGCTGCAGCTGGAGGTACTGGAGCAAGAGGCGCTGGAGCTGAGGCCGCTCGACCTAGAGGCGCTGGAGCTGGAGCCAATGGAGCTGGAGGCGTTGGCGCTGGAGGCGCTGGAGCTGGAGGCGCTAGACCTGGAGTCGCTGAAGCTTGAGGCGCTAGCACTGGAGGCGCTGGAGGCGCTAGAGCTGGAGGCACTGGAGCTGGAGGTACTGGAGCTGGAGGCCCTCGGCAGCAGCGACCGTTTTTCTTGCCGCCGCCGCAGCTGTCCGAGCTCCCGCCCGACTCGGTGCTCCGTCAGGTTCTTAGTCTTCCTTCGTCCACTGCCCTTCCTCACGACTCACCGCTGCCTGCCCGACCTCGTTACACTGAGTAGCCAGCCTCTCTTACAGAGCGTCATAAGCCTGCGTCCCGTTCTGCCTCCCCTGTTCGCACTGCTCGCCGTGCTCATCGTGTTCCGCGCCCGCGTCCTCCTCCAGTGCCAGGCACTCACACTATGGCACTTCGTCCTTCCTCTGTCCCACAGCGCGTCCCTCTGCCGTCTCCTCCTGCGTCCTCTCTTCTTGACGTTCCTGACCCTGAGTTTGACTTGGTTCGTGCTGCCAGTCCCACTGTCACGCGTCTCCTCGCTACTCTTGTAACCGACCCATCGTTTGAGTCTACTGCTGCGTCTGCCTTAGTTGCTGAGCTTGTGGACTTTGCTGCTGCGTGTCGTCTCGACTATGCCGCTAGTCTTGTTGCTGAGTCTAAGTCTGTCTTGTCGGGGGTGAGTGGGCTCTTGGCACGGGCTCTTGGCAGGAGGACTTTGAGTGTCTTGCGGCTGCTGTACCTCATCTTGTGGCCTGGCTGCTTGCGCCTGAGGGAGACCCGGATGCACTGGACATCCCGACCCCGCGCTCTTACGCAGAGGCAATTGATCTCGGGTCCCTACTCCTCTCAGTGGCAGACAGCCATGGACGCAGAGATGGCATCCTGGAAGTCCACAGGCACCTACGTCGATGAGGTTCCCCCTCCTGGGGCGAACATTGTCGATGGCATGTGGATTTTCAGGGTGAAGCGGCCGCCGGGTTCTCCGCCTGTCTTCAAGGCTTGTTACGTTGCTCGAGGCTTCAGTCAGCGGCAGGGAGTTGACTTCTTCCAGACCTTCTCCCCTACCCCGAAGATGACCACTCTTTGGGTGCTGCTGCACGTTGCCGCTCAGCGTGACTACGAGCTTCACTCTCTTGACTTCAGCACAGCGTTCTTGCAGGGCAGCCTACACGAGGAGATCTGGCTGCGCCGCCCTCCTGGCTTCACTGGGTCGTTCCCTCCTGGCACCCAGTGGAGCCTCCGGCGGCCGGTCTACGGTCTCCGCCAGGCACCTCGTGAGTGGCACGACACACTGAGGACTACGCTTGCGGCTCTCGGGTTTGCTCCTTCGACTGCTGACCCGTCGCTGTTTCTGCGCATAGACACCTCACTGTCGCCGTTCTACATCCTCGTGTACGTCGACGACTTGGTCTTTGCCAGTGCTGAGACTGAGGCACTCGCCTTGGTAAAGTCGGAGCTGTAGAAGAGACACACGTGCACAGACCTGGGTGAGCTGCGCAGCTACCTTGGCTTGCAGATCACCCGGGACAGAGCACGGCGCACCATCACACTGACTCAGTCACACATGGTGTAGCAGGTCCTTCAGCGCTTCGGCTTCCAGTTCTCCTCACCACAGTCCACTCCTCTACCTACCGGTCACTCGCTCTCAGCTCCACCTTCGGACGAGTCCGTAGAGCCGAGTGGCCCGTATCCAGAACTTGTGGGCTGCCTCATGTACCTGATGACTTGCACGCGACCTGACCTTGCGTACCCTCTTAGCATCCTGGCTCGCTACGTTGCACCTGGGAGACACCGGCGAGAGCACTGGGAGGCTGCTAAGAGGGTGCTGCGCTACTTGTGCAGTACATCGGGCATGGGGCTGGTGCTTGGAGGACGGGGTGACGTTGTCCTCACTGGACACTCCGACGCTTCTTGGGTTGACGACCTGGCTACGCAGCGGTCGTCACAGGGTTACACCTTCAGCCTTGGTTCCGGCTCTGTTCCCTGGCGGTCTACCCATTCGTCTTCTGTTATCAGCTCCAGTTGTGAGGCTGAGATCTACGCCACGGCCATGGCTGCACAGGAGTTACGCTGGCTTACCTACCTGCTGACCGACTTGGGAGAGCGGCCTAGTTCTCCTCCAGTTCTGTACATTGACAAAAACGCCGCTATTGCCTTGTGTCAGGAGCACAGACTGGAGCACAGAATGAAGCACATTGCTCTGCGTTACTTCCTTGCTCGAGAGTTGCAGCAGCGTGGTCAGCTTCGTCTTGCTTACGTGGCCACACGGGCCAACACTGCTGATATATTCACCAAGGCACTTCCGCCTGGTGATCATCAGTGTTTTTGTACTGCTCTAGGCCTTGTGCTTGCTTTGTCTCACTTGCTCACTACTGTGATCTATATATACCTATACCTGCATGCTTACACTTGGAAGGTTGTGATCACTGTACTGTTTGTTCTCTTTTATATAACTCTGCATGTGAACTGGCCTTGTGGCCATTTGCTTGTGCTCAGAATGTGTGGTGACTTCGTGATCCACCCTGAGCTTGCTTTGCTTTTCTTGACTGGTCTTGTGACCACTGGTTCTCCCCCACTTTGCCTATGGGGGTGTGTGAAACTATAATGGTGCTTGTTGTGTGTAGGCTATAGTGGGGTAGCCCATAAGGGGTACAACCCAGATTAGGGTTAGTACTTGTACTCACATTTCTCTTCAATGCCACATTCATTCGTTTTAGTTTTACAGGGCGAAGGCGATGCGAAGATGGGGGAACATGAGCGCAATGGCGAGGGGAGGGAGGAATGTGACCGTGATGCCGATGGGAAGGGAGGACATGAGCGATAGGAGATGAACTGGGCGACGGGATGGGAGGGGAGATTGCAAGGGCGACAGTATGAAGAGCGCGAAGGCGGCAGGATGGAGAGCGTGAAGGTGACGGGAGGGAGAGCGCGAAAGTGACGGGAGGGAGAGCGCGAAGGTGACGGGAGGGAGAGCGCGAAGGCGACTGGAGGGAGAGCGCGAAGGCGACGGGAGGGAGAGCGCTAAGGCGACGGAGGGATTGCGCGAAAGGGACGGGAGGGAGAGCGCGAAGGGGATGGAGGGATTGAGCGAAAGGGACGGGAGGGAGAGCACAAAGGCGACGGGAGGGAGAGCATGAAGGCAACAGGAGGGAGGGCGCGAAGGCGACGGGAGGAGGGAGAGCAAGTGTGAGAGAACGACGGCTTATGCCAGCTATGCTTGCTTGCCTTGACTTTCTTATGCTATTTCTAGCTTAGGTTTTACTTATCATGCATAGTTATGCTTGATTTCCTAGGTTAGGTGCATTCCTATATGTTATTATAGTTATAGCACCGAACCAGGTTACATGTTCCGAACTCAAGCCTTTTCGGTTCCCACCGAATTGCTTTCTACCGAGTTCGGGAAGGTTCTGTTCGGGACGCTTCGCGACCCTCAGAACATTCGCGTAACACCTGGGTTACCTGCCTTGTGTCGAAACTATGTATAGCCTCGTGTTGTACCCAGGTGGATCATTCAATTCAAACCCTCTTTCCTGAGCTCGATCCTAGATCCTCACACTTGGTAATCAGAGCCCGTTTACACGCGACAGTTTTTTTACCGCTAAAACCGAGTCTTCAAAAACCGCGGGGGCGACGCCTGTTAAACACCGATTTTGGGTACGTAAAACCGGTTCCGTGTTTTTCGCTCCCCCTCGTTTCGGTTTTTTCGAACGCGCATGTCAGGCATGGAGGGCCAGGGCGACAACTACACGACGACGAGCGACATCGCCAGCCTCCGCACCGACATGGAACAGATTGTCAAACTATATATGTTATACTTGTGTAGGCTGTAGTGGGGTAGCCAATATGGGGTACAACCCCTCTAGGGTTTGCTACTTGTACCCAACCTTCTTTCAATGCATTCATCCTTGCCTAGACTTTCTAACATGGTATCTAACATTCGGCGAATCGAAGCCCTCCTGATGCACCAACTAGTAGCCGCCACCGCAACAGCAGCGAACGTAGCAACAACGGCAGCAGCAGCGGTGGCGACACCGACATTTCACGGACCGATGGCACCACCGTCGCCGAATCTCAAAGCAGCACGCCCGAGGCTCCCTGAAGCGTTCGATCCCAGCGCGAAGGGATCCGACGTTCGACGATTCGTGGCGACCCTCGAAATTTATTTCGAGGCCATTGGCTGTTCGACCCCGACACACGACGCAGCACGAATTCGGCTCGCAGCGACACTGTTACGGGACCAGAATTAGAGTGGATTTATTACACTGACGTGGCCCGCGGGGAGAAATCGTGGGCGCAGTTTCGGGCAGACCTCATCGAACGTTTCGAGCCAATTAATACGACCTACATGGCGCGGCAGCAGATACACCGACACAAACAGTACAGTAGTGTAGCACAGTACACGCAGCAGATGGAGCTACTGTTCAACCGCATTACTGACCTGACCGAAGGCGAAAAAATCCAGGCGTACACAGAAGGGTTAAAAATGGAGATTCGCCGACAAGTAATTGCAGCAAACTACAACGGTTACCGCGACATCGTGCGTGCCGCCGAGCGATACGACGCATTGACTCGAGGTCAACCCGAAACACGACGTTTCGGGCCGAACCGTACATTCGGCACGGAGCGATCGGCCTCCCCCACGTTCGCCGAACCGATGGATATCGACAAGTTTGACGCGAAGCAGCAACCGACAAAATGCGCGTTTTGCGGCGCAGTAGGGCATCAAATCTTGTCGTGCTACAAGATGAAAAAAGCACGTGCGGCAATGCTGGGCGGCAACAGTGGAGCACCCCCGAAGTAAAAAAACGGGAATCGCCAGTAGCCGCGGATCGACCTGGCGATCGCGTAAAGATCCAAAAAGCTGAAAAGGGCGACGACGTGGCGACTTCGGAGCGGGTGAAAAAAGGAGAAAATGATGGCGCGAATTTAAAACGTCACGACCGGCCGGCATCAGGGGAAATCGCCGAGGCAAATGGAGGCTCCGCGAAAAAAGACTCTGCACCGACCGGGAAACTCCAGCCGAACACCCACGAAAGTAAGAATTCGTTAAAAGTATCCTATAAAGATACTCTAACAAAAAATATTGCTTCTCGTGGTTTTCAAGCCTTTGAAAATTTCGGGGGAGATTTAGAGGCCAAGAAAAAGCCTTTAGAAATTTTTCGGGTACCTGAGAAGTTGGGTAAAGTACTACGGAGCGTAGAAAAGGGTCGTGCGTTCCGTGGAGTTAATATTCTCTCCCCGCAGCACCGTGTTAAGGCTCCCCATTGCCCACAGGTGAAGCCTACACAGCTGCAAAGGCTTAGAGGACAAATCCAGGCTCAGGAGAAATTATACAAGCCTCGAAAAAATTCTCCTACCCCCCAGATTAAGTTGGAAGAGAAGAGTGCTGAGTCAGGTGCTGGAAATAAGGAAGGTATTCATTTTGATATACCCTATGATCCTATTAATGAGACCCTCTTTGGCTACTCAGCGCAGCAGAAACCACTACTCCTCGAGGTGTTATGCAATGGGCGATGCCTTCAGGCACTGGTGGACAGCGGTGCATCTCACTCGGTGTGTGACCGCGGAACATTGGAGAAAATTGGAGAGATGGCGATGGAGACCCAATTCTCGGCAACAATGGTGGACGATATGAGGCTTCCCATCCACGGCGAAGCATCACTGCAGCTGCATATAGGTGCGTTGAGGTGGAAGCCGAAGCTACCTGTCACCAACATCAAAGGGTTAGATTTCATCTTGGGGCGAGATTTCCTGAAGCGGTTCAACCCCGAGATCGATTGGGTCAACAGTAAGGTGTGCATCTACAACAACGGGAAGCGGATAGAGCTACGAAGCTGGACGGATACAGGGGAGGTGCCTGAAACGACACTGGCGCGGTTCGAACGGACGGTGAACGAGAGTAACATGGGTTACTTAGCACTGGTCATGGTGGGAGCAGAGGAGGAGAAGCTGAGTTCGGAGCTACCTGCAGCAGTAAAAGAGGTCTTGGAGCAGTACAAAGATATAATGCCCGACGACCTACCTGCAGGCGTACCTCCAGCACGCACCCACGAGCACGAGATCGTGGAGGAACCAGGTGCGAAACCCGTCTCACGTGCACCATACCGACTGAGTCCGACCGAACTGACAGACATGAAAAAACAGATCGAATATTTACTGGACAGACAACTGATCCGCCCATCCACCTCTCCCTACGGTGCACCAGTTCTCTTCACCCCAAAGCCAGACGGCAGTCTACGGATGTGCATCGACTACCGCGCACTGAACAAACAGACAGTAAAAAACAAATATCCCATACCGCGCATAGACGACCTACTGGACCAATTGCGTCGTGCAACAGTATTTTCGAAGCTGGACCTACGGTCGGGTTACTGGCAGATCAAGATGGCGGACAACTCGATTCACAAGACGGCGTTCCGTACCAGATACGGCTCCTACGAGTACTTAGTGATGCCGTTTGGACTCTGCAACGCACCAGCGACGTTCCAGGCGGAGATGAACCATATTCTACGGCCCCTGCTGGACGAGTGCGTGGTAGTGTACCTGGACGACATTCTCATCTACTCCAAGAACATGAAGGAGCACGTGGAGCATCTGCGGAAGGTGTTCAAAATCGTGCGGAAAAACAAGTTCTACGTGAAGCTGTCGAAGAGCGACTTCGCAATGAAAAAGGTGCAGTTTCTCGGGTACATGGTGAGTGCAGAGGGCGTACACGTGGACCCGCGGAAAATCAAAGCCATTAAGAAGTGGAAAGTACCGAAGAACGTGAAGGAGTTGCAGCAGTTCCTAGGCTTCGCCAACTACTACAACAGGTTCGTGCCGCAGTACGCTAAGATAACAACACCACTGACCGACCTTCTGAAAATGGATACGCCCTTCAAATGGGATACTCCTCATCAGCAAGCCATGGAGCAGCTACAGACAGCACTGACTATAGCGCCAGTACTCATCCTACCATACTCAGACAAGGACTACGTGGTGGAAGCAGACGCTAGTGACCAGGCAGTTGGAGCAGTACTGATGCAGGACCACGGACACGGTTTGCAGCCCATCGCCTACCTCAGTAAGAAGCTACACGGAGCAGAACTAAACTACCCCATTCACGACAAGGAAGCCTTAGCTATAGTCGTAGCCTTCAAGGCATGGAGGAGTTATTTAGAGGGAGCCAAGACCACAGTTTACACTGACCACTGCAGTCTCAAATACCTGAAGTCGCAGCCGACACTCTCACGACGACATGTGTGGTGGGTGGATTTCTTGGAGACCCACTTCCACTACGACATCATCTACAAACCCGGGCTACACAACAAGGCAGACGCGTTGAGCCGCCCCGGTCATGTAGCAGGCATCCAGCTCGACGGGATGAACCCTCTTCTCAAGGGTCTATTCCAACATGGGTACTCCGTGGACGCAAAGTTAGCAACGGCAGAGAAACAGAAGTTGTTACAGTGGGAGAAAGACTTAGCTGTAAGGAAGGGATTACAAAAGATTGGGTACCGAACGATGCCCCGTTACAGCATATCCTACTGGAGGAGTTTCACGATGTCCCATACGCGAGACATTTCGGGAGCAACAAGACGTTAGCGGGAATAGCAAAGTATTACTACTGGCCCCGGATGGCAGCAGACGTGCAACAGTTCGTCACCTCATGCGACACGTGCCAGCGGATGAAGAGTAGCAAGCAGAAAAAAGCAGGGTTACTTCAGCCTCTACCCATACCGGAGCAGCCATGGCAGGTCGTTAGCCTCGACTTCATCACGGGACTTCCTTCGACCTCACGAGGGCATGACTCTATCCTCGTTGTGATCGATAAGTTCTCCAAAATGGGTCACTTCATTCCGACCAACGCCACGGCTACAGCTGAAGCAACTGCTCGCCTCTTCTTCGACCGCATCATCACCATCCACGGCATCCCCGCTATACTCATCTCAGACAGAGACCCTAAATTCACGAGTAAGTTCTGGAAGGAGCTCATGGGATTGTTGGGGACTAAGCTTGCGATGTCTTCAGCATACCATCCCCAGACTGACGGACAGACAGAGCGACTCAATCAGGTGGTTGAACAGTTGCCGCGCACAGCTTACAAAGACGACATCAGCCACTGGGATACACAGTTACCAACCCTAGAGTTCGCTTACAACAACGCTTCACATGCGGCCACAGGAAAAACTCCTTTCTTCCTGTGTTACGGATGAGAACCTCTCACACCACAGCAGCCAACCACACCGGCACATGTCCAAGCCGCACACGACTTCGTCACCACCATGCAGCAGCTATGGAAGAAGACTCAGCGACGCCTCACCACGATGCGGAACTCCCAGAAGCAGTATGCCGATCGCCAACGACGAGATCACTAAGTAGCCGTCGGAGATCAGATGCTTCTCGACACACGCAACTTGAACATGTCTCACCAACCATCTAAGCTCCGGCCTCGCTTCTGTGGTCCATTTCTCGTGGAGGCACAGGTGACACCAGTTACATTCCGCTTGCGCTTACCAGATACGTGGAAGCTTCACAATGCTACTGAAGCCCTACAAGGACCCCAACCAACAGTTCCAGGGACGGCAGCTACCGCCACCACCACCTGTACTCGTACAGGATGAACCAGAGTACGAGATCGAGCGCGTTCTCACTCATCGGCGCCGCGGCGGCAAGACCCTTGAGTTCCTGATACGCTGGAAGGGATATGACCCCACTGAGGACAGTTGGGTTGCATAAGCTGATATGGGCAACGCACGCCGTGCTCTCAAGGACTATCTTGTCAAGCAGGGTGTGTCTCAAGCCACCCAGCTTTGAGGCGTGTGAGATTACGACGGCTTATGCCAGCTATGCTTGCTTGCCTTTACTTTATTATGCTATTTCTAGCTTAGGTTTTATTTATCATGCATAGTTATGCTTGGTTTCCTAGGTTAGGTGCATTCCTATATGTTATTATAGTTATAGCACCGAACCAGGTTACGCGTTCCGAACTCAAGCCTTTTCGGTTCCCACCGAATTGCTTTCTACCGAGTTCGGGAAGGTTCTGTTCGGGACGCTTCGCGACCCTCAGAACATTCGCGTAACACCTGGGTTACCTGCCTTGTGTCGAGACTATATATAGCCTCGTGTTGTACCCAGGTGATCATTCAATTCAAACCCTCTTTCCTGAGCTCGATCCTAGATCCTCACAGCTAGCAAGAAGGCGACGGGAAAAGTAATGGGAGGGGAGGGAGGAAGGGCGTGGAGAGGGCGTTTCAGAGCAAGAGCGTTGGCGATGGGAAAGGCGGCGAGGTGGGCGATGGGAAAGGCGACGGAGGGGGGCATTTTGGGGAGAGAGCTAAAACCGACGAGGTGAGCGATGGGGTGACGACTGCATAAAGGGTGGCGGGAGGGGAGGGGAGAAAAAGAGTTCGACAGGAAGGGAGCGATGGCGACAGGAAGGGAGGGAAGAAAGAGAGGGCGACAGGGGGGGGGGGGGGGGGGGGGGGGGGGGGGATGGAAAGAGACCCGCGAAGGTGATGGGAGGGGAGCGGACAGCGGAGAAACGACTAGAGGGTAGGGGGAGATGGCGAAGGCGCGAGACACAAAACTAGTGCCCGCGGAAGGGAATAAAATTACAATACTAAGCTACATAACAGTCTTACGCATTCCCGCAGGGTCGATAGTTAGCTAACTTGGCCACAAACACCTATTGTTGTCAGCTAAAATATGCTATGAATAAATTAGTGACTTCGGGATGGAGAGCAACTAGTCATGAAACCCAGTTCCAGCTTGAAACCAACGTTGGCCCTGGCGATTGAAACCATCGCTGGGCAACAGTCGTGCAGAAGTTGCACGTAGATATGCGACGAAGGAGATCCGCATGGGGGAAAAAAAAAAGGCGGGAACAAGAAGAATCAAAATTGGCTGTTTGTTTTGGTTGGAACAATGCTCTATCAGCCCGATCTTTGCAGGACGAAGCTGGCCACGCTGCTGCAACTCTCGAGCAAGGAAGTACCGTCATCGCCCGGATAGTAGACAGTGTTGAATAGTAGACAGGGGTTGTCTATTATCCGGGTGTCTCTTATAAACAGGCTAGCCTCATTATAAGACACCTATTTGTGTGTACGCGTTAAACAAGTGTAGAGGTTAGGGGGAATCGTATAGCGAGGGGGTATCTTCTTGTCAAACATATATGTTGCTTATTGTGTAGGCTGTAGTGGGGTAGCCCATATAGGGTACAACCCAGATTAGGGTTTCCTACTTGTACCCATCATGCTCCTAGTTCATTCATTCCTGCCTAGACTTCTGACATGGTTTCAGAGCAGTAGGTCCGTAGGACCGTCTTTTTTTTCGGGCCCACCTACCGTTGTGGTTACTGAGCTGCCCCACGTGTTGCCTGCGCTGCACCGCGCGCGCGCGCCTTGCCGTGCCTGCGCTGCGCTGCCCGCGCGCGCCTTGCCTTGCCTGCGCTGCGCTGCCCGCGCGCGCCTTGCCTTGCCTGCGCTGTGCCTTGCCTTGCCTGCGCCTTGCCTTGCCTTGCCTGCGCTGCGCCGCCCGCGCGCACGCCCTGCCCTGCCCCGTGTCAGAATATTATGCTCTAGCCTGTAGTGGGGTGCTCTGTAGCGAGTACAACCCTTCTAGGGTTTGCTATTTGTATCCCCATTCTTGCTAGTTCAGTCCTCTTTTGCCTAATTCTCTCGACATGCTATCAGAGCAGGACGATCCTGTTGGGTCGATCCTGTGGGTGGGCCCACCACCAAATGCTTCCGCTGCTGTTCTACTGGTCGCGCGACGCCTCCTTCCTGCCGCGCGCTCGGGGCGTGCGGCGGGTTTCTCCCCGCCGTGCGCCCCGAGGCGCGCGGCGGTTTCCTCCCGTGGGGGATGCCCGCGTCCCCCCGATCCCGTCGCCCGCGGCCCCGCTTTCCCGTCGCCCGCGGCCCCTCGGTCCCGTCGCCCGCGGTCCCCCCGATCCCGTCGCCCGCGGCCCCGCTTTCCCGTCGCCCGCGGCCCCTCAATTCCGTCGCCCGCGGCCCCGCTTTCCCGTCGCCCGCGGCCCCTCGGTCCCGTCGCCCGCGGCCCCCCCCCCCCCATTTCCCGTCGCGGCGCCCTAAGGAGCCGCGTGCGGCCCCTCGCTGCCCCTAGGTGGCGTCCTGGGGGCCGCGCGCCGTCCCCCTCGCCGTCCCCCGCGCTCCTTCCCCCGTTCCGCCCGTTTTAGGGTTTGGGGGTGGAGAGTGTGGGGGTGGCGGCTATGGGGGTGTCGGTTGTGAGTTCCTCCCCCTGCTCCTCCTCCTCCCTCGTCTCCCTCTGCTACAGCTGCCGCTGAGGGGGGTGGTGTGTGGGAGCCTAGGGTTTGGGGTTTAAGGGGGGTACCGTCGGAGTGGAGCTAGGGTTTGAAGCAGGGGGTGTGTGTCGAGGGGTGTGGGACAGTTGGAGGAGGTTGAGCGGAGGTTGCCGTCGTGTCGTACGCAGCGCCTGTACTCCGGGGCACTCATTCCCGGTAGCTCAGAGAGCCGGTTGCGCCGTCGCCTGTGGGTCCGTTGCTCCTGCCGCGCATATTAGCCGCGGAGCCTGTTACTCCTGTACTCCGGGGCACTCATTCCCGGTAGCCACGTTGTCGCACCAGAGCCGTCTGTTGCCCGTGTGTCTGCAGCTTCAGTCGTCGCCTCCTATCTACTCTCCTCTCGCCAGCCCTCCTCCTCCTCACTTGCCCCTTTTGTGACTGCCTCTAGCTTTGCTCATAATTGTGCACCTTAAACTATTGCTTCTTGCTTGTGCTCAGAATGTGTGGTGACATCGTGATCCACCCTGAGCTTGTACTGCTTTGTTTCCTCTGCTGATTACACCCCACTTTGGCTATGGGGGTGTGTCAGAATATTATGCTCTAGCCTGTAGTGGGGTGCTCTGTAGCGAGTACAACCCTTCTACTATTTGTATCCCCATTCTTGCTAGTTCAGTCCTCTTTTGCCTAATTCTCTCGACACCCCGCATTGCGCTGCACCGCGCACGCCGTGCCCTGCCCCGCGTTGCGCTGCCCCGCGCACGCTCTGCTCTGCCTGGCGTCGCGCGCCCCTGCAGCCCGTCGCGTCGCCCGTCTGCCCTGCCTCTGCCCATCACGTCACCCGTACGGCCTGTCCCAGCCCGTCGCGTCGCCCGTCCGCCCTGCCTCTGCCCGTCGCGTCACCCGTGCGGGCTGTCCCAGCCCGTCGCGTCGCCCGTCCGCCCTGCCTGCCTGTCGCGTCGCCCGTACGGGCTCTCACAGCCCGTTGCGTCGCCCGTACGGGCTGCCTGCCCGTCGCGTCGCCCGTCCGCCTTGCAGCCCGCGCGTCGCGCCTCTGCTGCCCCGCGCGTCGCGCCCTACGGCAGCCCGCGCGCCGCGCTCTGCAGCCCCGCGCGTCGCGCTCTGCTGCAGCCCGCGCGTCGCGCCCTGCTGCCCTGCACAAAGCGCGCCCTGCTGCTCGCGCCGCCCAGGCCGAGCCGAGCCGCCCTACCCGACCCGATCCGCCCTCCTGCTCGTGCTACTACTGCTGCTGGTGGAGGTGCTGCTAGGAGTGCTGGAGGTGCTGCAGCCTAGCCTCACCGGGCCGCTCTACTGCTCTTACTGCTGTTGCTGCTGCTCGTGCTGC